CTTTATTTTCCCTTCCTACCACTTCTTGCATGCCTGAACACAAAAACTGGCAGAGCTGCAAAGGACCACAGAGATCCTTTTGTCCAGGCTTCCCATTTGACAGAAGAAAAACCAAGTCCAGAGAGGTAAGATGACTTCTTGGTTTGGAGTTCAGTGGGGCTTGGCTTTGACAGCCACTGTCTCTTTACATTTAGAATAAATTTTCAGAGTTGACAGTAGACAACCATGAAATTCTTCAGACTTTAAAAATATAGCTTAAAAACTATCATTGTCTTGATTATAAAGATAAAATTAAAAGACCATTAAAAATACACAGATAAAAACAATTATGCTGCTCCCCTCTCTATTATCTGTTGTTAATTTAGTGTTTCTCAAATAGCATTCTTTAAGAAGCAAAGGAAGCAACAAACTTTGAAGAAAGTTTTTGCTCTGTTAAAAAGCTATAGAATATCATGAAGCCCACACTACTGGATTGCCCTTATAAATGATCACATAGGTTACAGTAACTTCTGAAATTTACCTAAAGGAGAGTATACACTTAAAAAAAATGTATCTGTCTATCTGAAATCTTCAAACTCATTCTTTTCCCACTTTTCTGTTCCCTGACTTTGTCTCTGCTAGTGTTTTCAAAGTACAGGATGAAACTAAAATGGAAGTGTAAAGGAGGGAATGAGTTAAAACTGCTAAATGCTTTGAAGTAATCAGTTTATGGTTTTTAAAACTAAATCTTTTTAATAGTTTTTGAAACAAGAATGTTACAATAGTTTGTGTCATATGTTAGACATATAGTAGTTAAATGATAAGTAAATAAAGTCTCAGATTTTCTTAGATAACCATGAAGACCTGTTAGAGAGGGCTGCTGCTGCTGACTACCTGGCTTCCCTTTATTTTTAAGATCCGGTAGAATCATAGCTAGAGTGCATTCCCCCCAATTCCAATCAGGTGAGCAATATTTAAAATTATCGGCATTTTAAATCAATATTTTTGAAAAACCTAGATCTCAGTATTCACTATGAAAACTCACTGTTTTAGAAATGGGAAATGATGGAACAAAAAACAACACTGAAAATAAGAGGAAACAATTTAAAACATGGCTGATCAAACTAGTTGGCCTGAGGACTGTGAAAATGGCATACGTACAGTCCTAGCAGGATTTTCCTTTCCTTGTTGGTTGTCTTTATATATTTAGTCATTCTTAGTTTGTAGTTAAAAATCAGTTCACTAGTTTTGTAAGAACAAGGTCACTGTAGCATTCTGGATGTGAGAAATGTCAGTATTATGTGTCGAGCAATTTGTACATTTTCATATACAAACCTTTTGCTCAAAGTACAAATTTTTCATATTATAACTAACATATATGTTAGTGAAATGCACCTACATAATTACACATTAACTGTGTACATACACATTTTCTAATTTAAATATGCAGAATTTACATGAAGGCCCCAAAATAAACCTCAACCCAATCATATGACCACAGGGACTTCCCTTTCTGGTTTGGCCTCAGAATGTTTAATTTCTTCTTTCCATGCCATAGCAGACCCTTCCAGCTATCTGGAATCCTTCATCCACTAACAAAGATGCTATTTCCTACTTTATTCTAGTGCCAGTGCAAGGCAGAGGAAGAGCTAAGATAGCAGGTTGGGTAATGAGATGGGGAGGAAAAGAGCACCATTGTTTTGAGATAATTTTCCCTTTAGCCTTATGCTGTATTCTTTAGTAATCCCAGGATCTAAACAAATCCCACCCCATCACTCCCAACCTCTCTTGAAGATTTCTCATTGGCCTCAGGTGCCTTAGTTACCGTGATCAAATAACTAAGGAAGCTGTTCTTTGTTAAAGCTACCTAAAAGTAAACCTAGATTTTCCTTCTGAAATGCAGATGAATCATATACTTTATGTGTGTGGAGGTGTTATGTGTCCTTTAAGTGAAAAGAACCTATTACTCACTTTAGACTTCTAGAAATTTTGTTATTTTTTCTATGTCTATTATTTCATCTATTATCTAGGCTCCCCATTGTTAGCACTTATACCTTCAAAGGACTGTGTGGTTGCCTCTGAGATACATGGGCCCTGGCAGATTCCCTAAGTAAGGACAACTAGGAGAGGGTAAGGGGGGGCATTTGGAAGCATTTGGCTTACTGATCTGCTATTAAATACTTTGCCTTATCATGATCTTCTCCTCTGATATCTTGACTTTCTATTCACTTCTATGACTGTGTTTCTTTATTCACTTCTTCCTCTTGCATTTTAAATACAGGTGTTTACCAAGGGTATTTACTTGATCAACTTCTCTCTCTTTCAAAATAATCTGCCTACCTAAGGGTTTATCTAATCTTATAACTTAAACTGCCCTTTCCACTTTGCTGATTTTCCCTGCCTATTTATTTCCAAGAGTCTTCTGGTGATTTTTTTTGGATGCCATATCTTTTTGGGATGTCACACCTGTACCTGAAATTTTAACGTCTAAGTCTAAACATATTATTTTTTCTCAAATCAAAAACAACTCACTGTGTGTGATTCTTCACTTCTCACTTAGGGCCCACAGTAATCATCAACAATTTCCTTTCTCAAATGGTTTGTAGTTTCCCCTCACACCGATATATTCTACAGATGTCTAGCATGCAAAGCACTCCCAGGGATAGTTCTTTATTCAAAAACACTAATCAAAGATTGCAAGTCTTCTGTCATCTGTCTGATCTGGCTTATGACTTACTTTTCTAATCTGAATTCTCATTACTCTCTTTTACTTCTCTGGTACTCTCCAAAACTCCACTGAACCACTCAAAGCTTTCTTTAAAGTCATATTTACATTATTTCTGTATTCCCAAGTATCTAGGCTATTACCTCGTCCTAGTAAAACAGAAGGAAAGAAATCTGATCAGTAACCACAGGAGATGGGAGAGAAAGGGGAGCTAAATAGGTGGATCTATAAGGCCATCAGAATACAAAAAAGGTAATGCCCAGTGAGAAGCAGTTCAGGTTTTCACACTCTGGATCTCAGTTCTCTCTTTCTTTTTTTTTTTTTTTTTTTTTTTGAGACAGAGTCTCGCTTGTTGCCCAGGCTAGAGTGAGTGCCGTGGCGTCAGCCTAGCTCACAGCAACCTCAAACTCCTGGGCTCAAGCAATCCTCCTGCCTCAGCCTCCCGAGTAGCTGGGACTACAGGCATGTGCCACCATGCCCGGCTAATTTTTATATATATATATAGTTGGCCAATTAATTTCTTTCTCTTTATAGTAGAGACGGGGTCTCGCTCTTGCTCAGGCTAGTTTCGAACTCCTGACCTCGAGCAATCCGCCCGCCTCAGCCTCCCAGAGTGCTAGGATTACAGGCGTGAGCCACCGCGCCCGGCAGTTCTCTCTTTCTTATACTACTCTGTCAAAGAGTATAAAACACCTGAGAGCAGTGGCTCTCAATGGGCACTGCCTCATACCCTAGCCTAGAGGGTGTTTTGAAAATATCTCAGGTGGTTTTTGGTTATCTCGATTACTGGGGAATGCTACTGGCATTGTGTGAGCAAGGGCCAGAGATGTTCAGAAATAAAAGGGGCAGTCGTACACAATAAAAAAAATTTGTTCTGTATTGGTCACAACTTCGAAACATCTTGCACAGCTTTCATGTTGGCAAAAACCTGACTTATAATCATCAAGCCTAGGGCTTAACTTCAGTTTACATATAAACAAAAAGAACTGTTTACAGTTTTGCTACACAATTTTTTACAAAAACACAAATACTTCATACATAAACTATACTTTGTTTTGTTTAGAACTTAAGAGCTATTCTTCGTCTGAAAAAAATCCTATCATGGAAAAGTTTTCCTCACGGTATTCAAATCACCCATAAAACACCTGTATCAGTCTCATTTGTAGCTTTCTCTATCTCTTTCTAGATTAATATCTCCTCATTCAAAAAACAAATTTTCCATATGTATGGTAAAGTCTGATACAGTGAAAACACTGAACTCAAAGCAGTAAGTTTGTCCTTTAGTCTCAATCTGCTCATATATAAAATTATGTGCTCTGCTTATCTTAAAGTCATTATAAGAATCAAACTGGTAAAATGGATGTGAAATAGCCTATAAGATGCCAAGTCCCACATATATTTTACAAGGGAAATAAGTCATCAACAATACCTCTGACTAGAAAGGAGATGGAAAAAAAAATTGTACCCAAAAGATTCTGTCTCCAGTATGTTTATCAAATTACAGTGCAGAAAGCTAACAGAACACATGATTAGCAATATATATGAATACTTAATAAAATCAAACTCTAAATCTGTGCTGTCCAATATAGCAGCCACATGTGCTAAAGTGTAAAATTCAAACTGGATTTAAAGAATTTAATACAAAAAATAAAATATATAACATAAAATAATTTCATGTTTCTTTTCACTTTTTAAACAATGACTAATAAAAAATTAAAAACTATATTTTTTGCTTGCATTACATTTCTTCTTTTTTTTTTTTTAGTAAAACATTTAAAAATTTTATTTTTTCCTTTTATTTTTTACCATATTATGGGGGTACAAATATTGTTAGGGTTACATATATTGCCCCTGCCGTTCCTCCCCTCGCCCCCCACCTTCTCAAAACATCAAGCATGTCCAACCCCCAGGTGGTGTGCATTATTTTGTAAGTATATATCCTTCCCTTCCTCCCCCCTCCCATCTGCCCAGCACCTGATAAAAGTTTTTTTTTTTTTTCTTTTTTGACCTTTTGATTACATTGTATGTATTTGGCTTTCCCTACGAAGAGTTAGAGGTATTCCCTACCCCCCCCCCCCATGAATGCTCGCCACAACCCTAAGATGTGTATCTCCCCCTCCCCCAAACCCTGGTGAACACTACCACCATTTGAGCACCATAGTTTTAATCAGTCAGTACCAATTTGATGGCAAGTCTGATGGACATTCTACTCTAAATAAACAATGCGATAACAATACTGATCAATAGCAACCTTACTGATCTTCAGGAAGTAAGACAATAAAGAATGTACACTTACTTCATCAGTGAGTTCTCCAAATACTGTTATGACATCTATTAAAAGACTTGCAGTATAGAAGGACTTGATCATGTTTCTGTAAGAGAAAAGAGAGCTGGTCTAGTTTAAATGAAAAACATTGAAATGTAATATTAGTTGTGTAGCTGTAAGAAAAAAAATTCCGATGTTTATAAAAGCACTCTGAAATCAGTATTTTAAATAAAATCAGATTTCAAGAACACAGTGAAAACCTTTTTCCACTCTGTTATTGGGAGAAAGTAACAAGATTTGCATTACAAGTAAACATGCTACAGCAAGATTTTATTGTATGCTTTTGATTTTAGAAAATGTAATTATAGTATTATTTGAATCCATATCAAACCTTAATGTATTTCTTTGCATTTAAATATTATGACAAATCATTTCAATTGGTTGGGTGGGTACTTTTAAAATCAACACCTTTGGGCCAGGTTGTGATTATGGCTAAAATCAACCCTTAGATTTTTACTAAATGTTAAAAGAATGGCTAATAAGGGAATATTTACTAAGAAAATAAATCTGCCCTGGATACTTCTTCTTTCAGCCATTTTCCCTAAAAAGAAAGTCCTGCATTTGTAATCCAAAATCATTCTGAGGCTCTATAATTAAAAGAAAAAATCTAAATCATTAATCAGAAAGTACTCTATAGAATACTATAATAATTCTGGTTATACAGTAACCAAACTCATAAAATAATTTTTATTTTCTTCTTTCTTTACATACTTGTGAAATCGCCCAGCACGATCTTCATTGTCTGCATACAAAAACATTTTCAGAGCATAATTCTCCAAATGGGCACAACCAACTATTTCTTGAGTAATGGCTTCATTATCACCCAACTGTTTCTTGAGCTAAAATAAAATCAGATCATGATTTTGGACTCTTAAAAGTGTCTGCTTAAACACAAATAATGCTAATAATCATTTTAAGTAAATTATCTTTCATTTCAATAAAAGATGTATCAATGAAATCTTGCAAAAAAGAAAGTTGCAATGTATTTAAAACACAATCCAATGGTTACAAAACTTTAAAGAAACACTTATGATAATCTAAAAGTATAATTTAGCTCTAATGATCAAAATAAACAAGAATAAATAAAAAGATAGTATACCCAGGTGAATGAAGCATCAGACAAATATTTCAAAATAATGCTGTATTATCCAATGCATTAACAGTTATCCTAAAAATAAAATTAGAAAATTCTTTCCTAAGCATAGATAACTTAAAATTTTAATTTATTCCCATTTCAATTTCTTCTATCAAATATAAAAAAAAAATAAGATGAGAAGGTTAATTATGTCCCAAAATAGTATCTCTAAGAGCACGTTGCATAAAAAAGATTCTAATCCTAAAACAAACTCAGAATTGAATTATGGGAGCTTTTAAAATTTAGACAAATATATACCTCCAATCTTACAGTGTAGATTTTCATTTTGTATGTCCTTTCTTACACATACAATACTTTAAAGTATTTAAAAACAAAAAAGTTCCTTGTTTTTACTTAAACTGTCATATTGGAATAAAATGACTATTTCTAGAATATCAGAGCCAAGCATACTATTGTTTAAAAATTGCTATTTTTCAAAGATGGTATAAAGTAAAAAATTAAATGAAAACCTCAAGATTTTTCATAAAACCAGTAAAGTAAATGCTTCATTATAACAACAGAATAATTTAAGGTGCAGAAGAGCTTTAATGCTGGAATTTAAGGAAATTTTGGGTATGCTTATCCTGGACATAAACAAAAGAAAAAAAAGCCCCACATATAATGCCAGTTTACTGTATCTAAACTGCAAAATGATTTGTAAAGGCAGATTAAATTCTAGAAAAATTTTAGTGGGAATAGGCCACTTCATCTTATCTACAACAAAACATACCTGAAGCAAAAATAAAATATACTTGAAGTTTTAAAACTGTGATACAAACATTATAGCACAGACAGATGTGCTGTCACCATGGATTAAACTTATCTGTTATTTAATTCTGAACTCCTGATTAATCCCTTTATAAATATGGCTTTATACTTTATTATAAGAAACTATTTGAATTTCATCTTATTCATGAGCTAGTATCTTAACTATTACTACTGTACTATGAAATTAATAAAGAGACATATTGTCTATAAAATGTCTGACAGAAGTGGAATTTTACAAATATATTGCCATATATGAGAAACATCTTCCCTCCTGCCCCAACTCCATCCCTCCAAAAGACAGTACTCCAATTTATCTTGCATCCATAGAAGCAGCATTAGAAGTGGAAGGCCTGATATGTTCCAGTGACAACTGAATTCCCTCAGTTGTGCCACCAGGCCCACCTTTGGTGGTCAATAGTAGCAGATGACAAGGGCTCTGGGTCAGTATGCTAGTGAGCCACACAAGTGAGAGAGAACACTACTGCCCATGGCTGCTTAAAACAACTAGGCAGGGAATATCTGTCTTGGGGTAGGTCTTGATCTGAATTATAACTTACTAACAGTAAATGAAAGCAATAAAAAGCTCTGGGCTGACTGGTATAAATGTTTTGATTTTGGTTTTTAGCATGTCTCAATTTTGTTTCTCTAAGTTAAATAATGCAATTGCTCCAATAAATAGGTTTCTAATTCTCCTGAGCAAGTCACATAACTAAGCAAATAAACAGTAAGCCATAGCTATTAAGATAACAGCCTTGGAAGAATTAATGAGTAGATCCTGACTTTGTTAAAAGAGAAACCAGCACCGGTTGGGCACAGGTGTCACAGAGCAGAGCCCTATTTACTAAGTGCAACTACCACGGCCAACACTGTCTCCTTTATGCACTGACACCCAATCCAACCCATTCAATTTTCCCTTAATAGGCATCTCCACAGTGACCTGTGAAGTTACATCAGGTTTAAGAGGCTGACTCATTATCTACCACATTCCTGCTAGGAGGGAAGGATGCCTGTACCATAAGAATATCTTGCCCTGGGACCCAGAAAGGGAAGAGAGAAGATAAACAATTGGTAGCATTTCCTCCACTGTTCCTTTCACTAAATAAACAGTCCACTTCATTATTATAAGAGGCATTTAAGAATTTCCACATCAATCACCTATGTGACTGCATGGGGGAAGGTTAGAAAAAGTCACTTATGAAAGGATGACTCAAAAGCCATCTATAATAATGTGGAACAAGATATAATAGTATATGCAAAGATATTTGAACCTATTTTAATTTATACTTAACAACTCCTCAGGCAGTATGGAGTAAATAAAAAAAAAGTGTCTAGTTTTTTCCCAAGTATAATGGCATTACTGATTGTTGCCCAGCAAAAGAACTAAAATGACAACACACACACACACACACACACACACACACACACACACACAAATGAATAAAATGGTATTTTAAACATAATCAGAAAATAAACTTTCAGTGTTTAACTTACAGCTTCTAACTGATCCATTAGCTTTGATAAAAATTTACGACATTCAGGAGTTTTACTGTCAATCTTCATTCCAGTCTGCATAGCATATAAACGACCTACAAAGAAAAATGAGATGATTTGAACAATTTCAATTTTAAACATCCTTTGCTATGACTGAATGTTTAAAATATGTTTTGCCTAATAAGTAATTTAAAATTTAAGTAAATTTGGAAATAAAACTTGATTTACTATGGATTTTATTTATAAAGAACATAAAAATACCCAAAGAATGTAAGAGATCCATGATGATAACAAGTCGGGCTCCTTCCCATTTGGCATTATGTTTTTAAAAAAGGGACCTGACTGCTAAGTCAGGGCACACAGAAAAACCACCATACACACAAGAGCAATTGCCAAATGGCAGACAAGTGATACTGGTAAAATATACAAAATGAGCTGAGATAGTGGGAAATTAAAACTGAACTAATGTTTATAAATGGAATGATAGTCATTTTATGTATACTCTCTCTTAAATTATCTTTTCTTTAAAAAATTAATAAAAACAACTGAAATAAGGTTAAAGATAAAGAACTCTTTGACTAACAGCAAAATCTTAATAGCTTTCCCAGAGATAAGAGCTGTGGATAGTTTTTGTGGTAATTGCTATTACCATTGATACGTACATATAATGTCTATAATCTAACTCTTACATTCAACAACATGTCCTAGAGATGTGTGTTAGCACTAAGTGTTCCACTGGATGCATACATCATTCTAATTAAGACACATTTTGGGTAGCTCTCAAATTTTCATTATAAATAATGTTGCTCTACCATATCTCCTTGTGTATAATCAAAGAGTTCTGTGGGGTAGATACTAAGAGGTGGAATTTCTGGGTCTTAGTATGTGTATCATTTTCATTTTGAGAGCTACCTTTAAATTAACCACCATTTATCTGTAGCAACACATGTAAGCACCAATTTCCCTAAACTCACAAAAAATTGGTATTATGAAACTTCAATTTCTGTCAATCTGAGGACTGAAAGTAATATGTCACTGTTTGGTTTTGCCTTTTCCTAACTACTAAACAAGTATTATATATTTACTGGATAGTTTTCCATTCTTTAGGAATTAGGAGTAGTTATAAAAACAAAAGAAAAAAGTCTGCCAAATAGGTTTGCTTTTTACTGATTGACTTGCAGAAATTCTTTATACAATATGAAGCAGGGACATAACTTCCACCTCAAATGGAATCTTGTGAACACCATTCCTCCTCCCTGCTTTACTTTTCTCTTCAGCCCATAACCGATCTTCTATTTGTTTATCCTCTATGTCTATCCCAACTAGAATTCAAACTCCATGATGATAGGGATTTTAGTCTATTTAGGTTTGCTTGATGTATCCTTGGCATCTAGGATAGTGCTTGGCCCTCAATAAACATTTTCTGAATAGATACATACATGAATGAAAGAACAGCTCATTCTGTCCCAGTGATTTAAATGTCACTTTTATCATTCATTATCATATGTTAACTTTCCTTGGGATAATAGGGTCCAATCTGAATAATGCCTACCCTGCTTGTTAGTCTGTTGGTCTATGCCTGTTTTATTTACAAGAACTCTATAACAGGGCTTGGTAACAATTAGTTATTTTCAGAATTTCCAATTCAATTGTTTACCTGACAAAATCCTCTTTACAAATGTATTAATATATACATGATAGTTACGTATTTATTGTATCTGTGTATGTTTTTAATTTTAATGGCTTTATCTGAAGGAACTAATTTTTAATGCTTAGAGCTATCTCATGTTACAGAGTTTGAAGTTTAATTTATTAATGTATTTATTTCTATATATCAAATTTAAGGATTTGATCCATCTAGGTGTTACGGAGGGGGAAAAATGGAGTTTAATACAGTTAGAAGCATGGCACTATCACTGCATACCAGCTAGCACTGAAGATCACCTTGATACACAAACATACTAATTTGAAAAGCAAAAAAAGTACCTTATTTCATTTAATTGTGTAACCAAATTTTTCTATTTTTCACTCTTTCTTTTAACCAGCCATATTTCATTAACAAGTTGTCCTGTTCCTTTACCTCTTTGACTATATTAGGTTTTTTTGTTGTTGTTGGGCTCAAGCAATTCTAAGCCTCAGTCTCCTAAGTTGCTAGGACTAAAGGTGTGTATTACTATGCCCAGCTAATTTTTAAATTTTTTTTGTAGAGACAGGATCTCACTATGTTGTCTAGGCTGGTCTCAAACTCTTGGCCTCAAGCAATCCTCCAGCTTCCCAAAGTGCTGGGATTAAGGTGTGACCCACCAAGCCTGGCCAACTACATTAGGTTTTAATCAGCCCCCAACTCCTTAAGACAGGGTTGAATACCCTCCCCTTTTCAAACCACTCATATTTCTTTTGAGTTATCCAAGTTCTGTGCCTGTCTTAGGTTTTTTGTTTCCTAAAACTGACTAATTCCCCAACCACTTACTTTTTGTTGAGTTGTCTTTTCTTCCAAGGTTTTTGCTGCATTTCTTTCTTTTTTTTAAATGCATCACTTGAGCTCTTTAGATCATAAATACATTGGCTGCAAATTTTATGACCAATCTTTTAATTTTTTGAATATTGTTTTAAAATATATGAGGCTTAACACGTTTCTGTACTCAAAACCACCATTTGTGACTCTTCCCACACCAATTCTAAGCTTGGAAAGATCTTTTATCTCTAGAAACTTGGCCTTGATATTCAGTTATATAATTTTTCTAGTTTTTCCTACATTTTATTTTTTCAAACTTAACCCTATAATCTAATGTACATTTCCCCCCTACGATAGAGGCACCTGCTTCAAAATCATTTAAAAAATAATCCTTCTTCTCTTTAATAATTTGTGGTTCCTTCTTTAATATATTTTTGCTTTCTATATTTCCTGGCTATTTGACTTTGTTGAGATCTCAGCTCAAATGCTATCTACCTACATGATGATATTTTTCTTCCTACAAATTTAATTTTATGTCTTACCATATTGCCAAAATTTCCTGAAGAATGTTAAGTGTCCTTGCTCTTATTTTTAAGAGGAAGGCTTCGAGGAGGGATCAATTCCATGCCAGGTGTTCACATTATCCCTGAGAGAGCCAACATCCTGAGATAGAAGCTGAGGCTTTTGAGACCCAGATGATCCCAGGGATCAGAAAACATTTGGTGTGAGTATGGAAAGAAAATATTAGATTCTATTTATGTTTTTATATCATTCTTTAGAAATTTCTAATTTTATATATCTCTTATAATATAGTACTAGTATATTGATATGTAAATATAATTCATAAATAATTTACATAATACTTAAGATTTGTGTTCAATGTCTTTTTTAGCTCATATAGATAGGTGATCAAAAGGTCCAGAATGGCTGCTCTACTGTATCTCCACTCCTTTCAACTATAAACTATTATTTTTGCCCCACCCTAGCTCATACCTCTTCCCCTCAGTCCTATGCCTTATATCAAAATCCCCTGGAACTACTGTTTTAGTATCAACATTCTCCCCTACATCTTCTCAGATTCCTTCTTCTTTGTCTTAACTAAAACCTGATGTCACTTGAAGAAACCATTATATTTGCAGTCCTCTCGAATAGTGATTTTTTAAAACAAATTCTCTCACATTCCTCCTTAGGGTTGGGAAGCCCCTATATATTATCAAGGGGTACCTAGCCAAAACAGTACGCTTCAGTACAGTGTTTTTCAAGCAAAATATGGTCACGCAGCTAAGACTAATATCATGTAACTAGAAACTGTTGGGAGAGACTTATGAAAAGTCTCCTTAAAAAGAGGAATGACAACAGGGGAAAGAGCTTACTGATCTCCCTTTTCTTCTCTCTGCTATCTAGAATAAAAATACTGCATAACTGAAGCTCTAGTAGCCATCTCGGACCACAAAACAACCTTAAAAATGGTAAGTGCATAACTTTTACAACAGTATTTGTTATACTTTTTCTGTTTTATTATTTGTACTGTTAATCTCTTACTGTGCCCAATTTAGAAATTATACTTTCTAGGTATGTATATATGTATAGGAAAAAAATAGTACATATAGGGCATGGATCTTGCTATTACTTTGTATTTTGTATTTGTTAATGCAATGTTTGAGGGGACTGTTACCATCTAGAACAATGATAATCTGAAATGCACTGGACAGTCCAGACAACAAAGAACTGCTCCTCTAAGATGTCAATAGTGTTTCTAAAGAGAAACAATATGGAGTTGTGGTTTAAAAAAAAACATACAAAAACCTAAAAACAAAAACATGAAAAGTCACAGAAAAATAAAAAACATAAAAATGACAACACAGCCCAATGTTGAATTTGACCGAAAGCAAAAACTTATCAAGCATTAGTTACTGAAACATACATGCAATCCTGTGCTGCTCAAGAGTATGTAAGCTTTCTCTTTTAACAATTAAACATAATTGTCATAGAAAATAAACCTTATCCAAGATGCTTAAACATGCAAAGGTGCCAAAGAAAGAAATTAAAGTTAAGAATGTGTTATTTGACTCCACAGACCCTGTCCCTTCTACTTCTCTTTAAGATCTGCAAAATGAAACAATTTACTCATAAAAGAAGAGTAACTATTAAAATGACTACTTTTACAAAGTAAAATGCATGTGTGCCTATATGTTCACCTAAATAAACAAGACGAATGGAATGCTACTGGATAAATCAGTGGTCCAACCTTATGTATGTTTTTATTATTTACCTGTCATTGCTATAGTAAAGTATCTTGAGTCATCTTATAATTAAAAAATAAGTATTTAGACAACAGAGCTGTGGATAGCAATTTATCATATTCAGAAACCAGCAAAAGAGAAGAACTGCTTCTCTTTTTCAACTTTGTCAAGCTTGTCTGACTGACTTTTAAAATCCCATTTCTGTGTGATTAACAAAAACAAAATAATAATAGGCAACTGGTTATTAATGCCAATATTCATGTGACTTACCATCTGTCAACAAAGAAATCCAATATTATTAATATTTAGCTTTTATTTAAACTAAATTAAAATTTTCTTGTATGTTCTATAACATCTCAGAACTGAAATAACCATATGTATTTACAACTTCCTGAAC